TGAGTGAGTGAGTATGGTTTTACGCCACTTTTAGCAATATTCCAGCAATATCACGGCGGGGAACTCCAGATATGGGGTTTTACACATTGTACCCATGTGGGGAATTGAACCCGGGTATTCGGCGTGATGAGTAAACGCTTAAAGCACTAGGCTACCCCACCGCCCTGGACCAATATTAAGCCGAATTTCCCTTGGGTAAGAGGGTGTCATATACGAAACGGGGCGGTGGGGTAGCCAGGTGGTTAAAGCGTTCGCTTGTCACGCCGAAGACCAGGGTTCGATTCCCCACTTGGGTACAATGTGTGAAGCCCATTTCTGGTGTCCCCCGCTGTGATATTGCTGGAATATTGCTAAAAACGGCGTAAACCAAACTCACTCTAACGTGTGCTATCTTTGTGTTGATGTATTCGAAGGGTAGATACGTTACGAAAATCTAGGTCCAGAGTGTCAAAATATATATAAAGTAGGTAATTGTACCGATGAAATACCGCCCCATATTGAACATTTCACCTAAGAGGCTCACGGTTTTCCAAATATGTTTGTTTCAAAAAGACAAAATGTGAAGTGCGAAACATGATCCAAATATATGATTTGACGCTTGTTTGGGCGTGTATAGCACAAGTAATCATTTAAAGATCAGTATATGCACATGCCTTGCAATACGAACAAGACTTAATTGATTTACTGTGAAGTGTACCAGGTTCCTGCAGAATACCTGCTTAAGGTGTTACGGGAACAATTACTCGGAATCTGATAGAAATGTCAAACCAACAGCAACTGATGATCAATGTTTTCTTATCATTTTTCAGTGTTGTTGTCGGCGACCGATCCTCCTTGTAAATATCGGGTCGGGGGCAACATGAATGTCTTATCTCCTTGCTAAATGGGCTCCATATGAGCGCCCCCTTGTGGAGGAAGGGAGCAGGTTCAGTGTCATGGAGTTGTTTAGCAAGATGGCCGCTGATGAACTTCCGGAAGGTCAGGCATTAGGCGCGTGTTATCACTGTAGCTGTTGCAACTGTTAGCTGTCTTGGTAAGGTTCTAAGGTTTTCTGTCGGGTCTTGTGTATTCCTGTACACCGCGCAGTGATTAAATGGTAATAGGTAGATTTTGATAAGGAAAGAAAAGCATTGTTATACACATCTAGACTCTAAGTGGAAAGTGGGACTCGTCAATTCGTGAAATTAAATTTATTCATACGAGTTGGGGTTTTCAACGTTGTGAACAGCGGGGCGTATCAGGGCGTATCAGTCGAATTCTAGCTGTACAGGTAATAGACGTTTACCACTGGCGACGGACCCCGTGGGGATTCTGGGTTAATATTGATCCTCATCAACCGACGCTGATTGATAGAAGGGACCTAGTAGATCAGATGGTCAATGCAAAACTCCATAGATCAATAATTATGATGTGTATAGATTGATTGCTTGGTGTGTGTGTTTGTTGTTTAACGCCACACTCAGCAATATTCCAGCTTTATGGCAGCGGTCTGTAAATAGTCGAGTCTGGAGTAGACAGTCCAGTGATCAACAGCATGAACATCGATCTACGCAACTGGGATGACATGTGTCAACCCAGTCAGCGATCCTCACGATCAACGGATGCTGTCTGGATTAACCGTCGTTACTTTGAAACAAGTTATGAGAAACAAAAACGTGCGCATGAATCATAAGGTCACATGTACACAACTAACCACTTACTTATCTCCCAAACTTTCAAACCTTATCTCACGGTGAGATAACAAATCCCTCTACCTACTACAAGTAACACGTTTGCCAGGGGTTCAGCGTTTACTAGCCCGTGCTGTAATCTCAGGCAGCGTCTACGGGTCATAACACGTCTTAAGAGTCTCACAATAGACTCAGGTCAAGTACTTTATCAGGCGTGGGTTTGTCACGTGGATGCCTGTGACAATGGCTTGTGGACGATGGGGATGACATAGGAGAGTTATCTCCCTTGCATTAACCTCCTTCTCCAGTTGCTCTTTTTGACATTGAATAGCTTCTTGTAATGTTTCCTGTATGCGCTTGTCTTCGAATTTAGGGCAAATAAACAGTATTCGGGATTACAGTTACCCGCATTGGGTTGGATGGGCGAGACTTTACTGTTTATTGGCCGCATGCGTTTTAAGTCGATATACTACTTCATGCATCGAATTGAGTAAAACTAAACATTATTGTCAAGGTCGTTCTTGATAAAACACAAATATTTTCCGTTGTAATACGTGAGTGAGTGAATGAGTGAGTTGGATTTTACACCGCTTTTAGCAATATTCCAGCAATATCACGGTGATGTGACACCAGAAATGAGCTTCACACATTGTACCCATGAGGGGAATCGAACCTGGGTCTTCAGCGTGACGAGCGGTGGTTTAACCACTAGGCTACCCCACCGCCACCTACTTATGCTTTGGATTTACGTTCATCTGTCTGCTTGCATCGACGTTTCACCACTCAAGAGAACTACGACTCGTCTACATTGATCATTCAACAGCTGTCATCAATCGTCAATCAGTACATCCGTTCTTTGCTGGGAATGTAAATACTTTGGTGAGTTAATATGTGAGATTTGTGACTCAATTGTATTGTATTGGAAATCTGTACTGCCATTCAGTGTAACCTTGTTATTGTTTATTCAAGATATAATTGAATATCACAGACGTGTCAGTGTTATATTTTCCTGGTTTAAAGACTTCTGTCACGGTAATTTCTTACCCGTAACAGTAGGTCGACATGCACCGATGACATAATCGGTGCTCATAACATCAATCACTGATTTGTCCGGTTCAGGCTCGATGATTTACAGACATCCTCATATAGCTCATAAATAACTGAGTGTAGCGTTAAACAACAACACAACATTGGCATTGTTAACGTGATCTAATCTCTTGCCTGAAGGAGACACACATACGGAAGTCCCTGAGTTGTGGAGAGACAGGAGGGTGTGTGATAAACACGAGATTGACAGCCGTGTAGATGGGGAAGGCCTTACTCTGACCATGGAGTGAGTGATAGTGGTTTTACACCGGTCTTAGCAATATTCCAGCAACATTCCGGCGGAGAACACCAGACATGGGCTTCACACATTGTACCCATGAGGGGAATTGAACCCGTGTCTTCGGCGTGACGTGCGAACGCTTTAAACACTAGGCTATCCCGACCGCCCGCTGACTTTGGACGTCGACACTATCTACAATCTCCACACCGTGTTTAATTGTGATGCTTAATCGTAGCTGTGAATGCGAAATTTCACGTCAAAGTGCATAAATTGTATCAATAGAAAGTACACCATATTCATGTAATACCCCATGCGACCAGTGTTCTGAGCCACTGCAATCAATTTGTTGTGCAAGGTTGTGTCCCGTAGACCTGACAAGATCCGATGGGGATTCGAATTTCAAATCAACCATGGTTATTACAAATGGTTAGGTAGCACCATCCCATGTCTCCAGCTATCAACATCACTTCGGGATTTCTTCCCACAATGATCCAGCACGCTGCTGTTGTAACATAACTATGAAATTCATAGTGAGTGAGTGAGATTTTACGCCGCTTTTAGCAACATTCAGCAATATCACGGTTGGGGACACCAAGAAGTGGGCATCACCCACATTGTACCCACGTGGGAAATGGAACCTGGTCTTCAGCGTGACGAGCGGTGGTTTAACCACTAGGCTACCCCACCGCCACCTACTTATGCTTTGGATTTACGTTCATCTGTCTGCTTGCATCGACGTTTCACCACTCAAGAGAACTACGACTCGTCTACATTGATCATTCAACAGCTGTCATCAATCGTCAATCAGTACATCCGTTCTTTGCTGGGAATGTAAATACTTTGGTGAGTTAATATGTGAGATTTGTGACTCAATTGTATTGTATTGGAAATCTGTACTGCCATTCAGTGTAACCTTGTTATTGTTTATTCAAGATATAACTGAATATCACAGACGTGTCAGTGTTATATTTTCCTGGTTTAAAGACTTCTGTCACGGTAATTTCTTACCCGTAACAGTAGGTCGACATGCACCGATGACATAATCGGTGCTCATAACATCAATCACTGATTTGTCCGGTTCAGGCTCGATGATTTACAGACATCCTCATATAGCTCATAAATAACTGAGTGTAGCGTTAAACAACAACACAACATTGGCATTGTTAACGTGATCTAATCTCTTGCCTGAAGGAGACACACATACGGAAGTCCCTGAGTTGTGGAGAGACAGGAGGGTGTGTGATAAACACGAGATTGACAGCCGTGTAGATGGGGAAGGCCTTACTCTGACCATGGAGTGAGTGATAGTGGTTTTACACCGGTCTTAGCAATATTCCAGCAACATTCCGGCGGAGAACACCAGACATGGGCTTCACACATTGTACCCATGAGGGGAATTGAACCCGTGTCTTCGGCGTGACGTGCGAACGCTTTAAACACTAGGCTATCCCGACCGACCGCTGACTTTGGACGTCGACACTATCTACAATCTCCACACCGTGTTTAATTGTGATGCTTAATCGTAGCTGTGAATGCGAAATTTCACGTCAAAGTGCATAAATTGTATCAATAGAAAGTACACCATATTCATGTAATACCCCATGCGACCAGTGTTCTGAGCCACTGCAATCAATTTGTTGTGCAAGGTTGTGTCCCGTAGACCTGACAAGATCCGATGGGGATTCGAATTTCAAATCAACCATGGTTATTACAAATGGTTAGGTAGCACCATCCCATGTCTCCAGCTATCAACATCACTTCGGGATTTCTTCCCACAATGATCCAGCACGCTGCTGTTGTAACATAACTATGAAATTCATAGTGAGTGAGTGAGATTTTACGCCGCTTTTAGCAACATTCAGCAATATCACGGTTGGGGACCCAAGAAGTGGGCATCACCCAATGTACTCACGTGGGAAATGGAACCTGGTCTTTGGCGTGACAACCGAACGAATGTAACCACTAGGCTACCCAACCGCCCACAAGTTGACAAAAAACTACAGTCAAATGTCATATATTTTATTTGTTCTTGTCTTTTATTACACATTCAAATGTAGAATTTCTTCATGATAACAACGCAAGCTTATACATCTCTTTGAATGAAAATATACATAAACTATTTATAAAAAGGAAGACATTTAATTGTCGAATGATATCTCACCTGAAAAGAAAAAGTTCCAGTAAATGGATACACGTCCAAAGTTATACACCAGGCCAGAGAATGAAACTATGTACAGTTCGTTGTAACAACCCACCTATATCGGTTTAGCGTGTGGAAAAGCAATTCCTGCATCCACACGTGATGAAATGAACGTGACATGAAATATGGTGTAAATATCTTTGTGGAACGTTTTATTTTGGTCCCTCTAACTTCATCTAACTTCAAACCTCTCTACACACATATACATGTTATACAATTGGCGCTTGATTGGTATTTGCTTCTGTGCTCTCAGAAATGGAATGAAAAAGAACTTGACATATTCGTGGAAATAAACGCGAAATAGCTTAGATACATTGTTGAGAATGTGACCTGGAATGGATAAAACGTTTGTTGCGAGTATTTCGAGTCAAATGCCGTTGTCGTGTCCCAATGTGACGAAATTCCTGCAACTGATTTTGGAGGAAGAATGGTGGAGTGTCGATCCTAAACCTTCGGAAGGTGCTGGACATCTGACCAGTCTTGTCACAGCTGATAGTTTATCATCCTCAGTCACTAACACTTACTGACAACACACATTGTGGAGTTTTCTGATCGCCATTTAAGACAGACATAAAAATGGCGGATTATAATGTAAAACAAATTTTCCTTAATCGATAAAATTTGGATATGGTCGATTCGAAACAGTCATTCGTGGAGTCATTTGATCCCAGATCTGTTGCACGCCTCGTTAATATTAATAGACGAATAATACAAATAAAACACATATATTTACATTTAGCAGATTGTGACCACCTGGGCGTAATATATAAAATGTAGAAAATATATCTATATTACACGGAAGAACAGTGCAGACAAACTGGCTATCACAAGTATCCTTCGTTAAACTTCCACGAAGAAGAGCAATAGACACCATTCAGTAATGGTGACACTTGGCTGAGAAACATTATTTGCATAGTCGACTATTTGTAACAGACCATACAGATTCACGTCATAAATACAACATTATAATGCCATATGTCATACTGAGCCATGAAGTTGATTGGAAAGACGTTGGAACATACAGATATAGTATTGAAGTTAACAGACAGCATTTACAAGCCGATATGACACGCAACAGAAAATTACCAGCAATTCATAAATTCGTTTAACATGTAAATGGTATAATTTCTTATGAAGTACATTTCATAAACATATGCATGACAACACAAACTTTTAAATATCTGTGATGACGTACACATACCAAAGCATTATCATTTTCTATTCTACAAGCAATATGGTATTAGTTGCTACTTACATACTTTTGATTGAACAGCCACCATGCTAGGTACGTCAGTTTTCTAACTCTATACAAAAGCCTAGCTACATATATCCATGATATAGTTCACTACTTATATTACACATCAGCTTGTTGAACAATTTCTTAATTTTGATTTCTTCGTCACAACTGTGTGTGGATGTGGAATGTGGAGTCTATGAAGTAGGACCGAAATTGATTTTATCAGTGAACATACCTTGTGTGTTTAGTGACTAGACAAACACGCCAGTAGCATGGAAAACTAACTACGGATGTACGGTAATGTTGGTTTAAAGCAATATGCTTATCAAGTCTGTTTTCAGAGAACGCTGTGAAGGTTATTAAACCCTATCACTGTGTATGTTATTAAACCCTATCACTTACGTATGTCACTGGAGACGGGAAGGTGATCTTGTAGCGGCAGTGATTAGCAATTAGGGCAAAGTGTCGAATTATCATCCATGATAAGCGATCACTATGCTTGACCGTAGTTATTTACAGTGAAAGGTTATCCTATGCAAATGGATCATGTCAAATCAAACTAAAATTATCACAGAAACGAAACTGTTTGAAACTGCCATTGTTACGTCACCAGTCATCTACACCGTCCATGCTAGAGCACCTGCTTGTGGTGATCAGAACGTGGTGGTACTTTGTGCAAATAAACATTAGTATGCTGGTAATTACATTATATCTACTGACTATACTCTAGGGACGAAATGGCCAAACAATAACCCACAAATGTAAATGACCACTACGAAGAATTAGCGTAAACAGAAAAGCAAGAAAGCTAAAGTAAATGTATTAAATCCTGTAGATTAAGGCTGGTGGTTTGTACATTGCATGTACTTGGAAGACAATTTTGATCTGAAACTCACTGGAAATCACGTAAACACACCACTTTTGTTCTTACTTTCAAGACAAATTTGAGTTTCTACAGCCTAGAAACATATGTGATAACAAGGCACATGCCAATTCCGTTTTGCTGACTAACTTGCATCTCACATTTATCATCCCAATCTTAAGAGAATCGATTTTCGTTTACACAGCAGCAACAGAGCTTGCTCTCTCCTGCCCTCCTAATCGTCTCTCCTGCCCTGCTCAGATGTTTTGCCGATTGGTGTCAAAGATTTCTATGTGTTCGTATGTTTATTAAGCCAATGATTCTTTAACATCCTCTCCCGTTGGCTCATCATCTTCAGGGTTCTTGGATGGAAGCGTTTTATCCTTGTAGATCTGCCATAGCTTAAACACTAAGTCTGTAGCAACGAGATCTGTGGAGTTCTTCGAGATGACACGAATAACGAAAACACCATCATCTCGAAGATACTGGTCAGCGAATTTGGCGCACAGTTTCTTGTCGGAACCCGTGTGGAGTTCATTGCTGATTTTCAGGTACTTCTTGATGTAAGCTGGTCTGTTTCTCTTGAACATGACTCTGTACAACCAGGCCACCATGTTGACGCATGTGAGGGCCGCTACGAGGACGAGCCAGAACCAGATGAAGATGAAGATCTTTTCGTTGAAGAGATTGATGGGAAGGACGCACTGGACTGTCCACGTTTGGATATTCTGAAGCTGACGAATCTTAAAGTCACAGAGGGTGACTCTCGGGAACCTTGGTGACTCTTTCCATTCCTGTCCGGAAGCCAACTTGGCCATTACATCAAACCCATACATGTTGTATTCTGTTGCGAGGAAAGCATTTAGAATGAAAAACTGGGCGATCACGTTTGCGGCGTATAAGACTTTGATGAAGAGGTAAAAAGCAGTTAAGTAGGTTCCGGCTCTCTTGTTGCAGAAGAAGCAGCAGAACCTTGCCATCTTCTGTTTAGCTCTGACAATGATGTTCCAGTGGTACTCTCTGTGGGTTTCCAGCCACCTGTCCATGTACTTTGCGATGTGCTCAATCGTTGTGTTCCGGTCTTCAGGGGATCCCATCTGGGTCTGTTCAGCCATTTCAACAATCTTGTCCAGGTTGATTCCGGCGCCGCCATTGAAGACCCTCCACAAGATGTTTGGGAACTTGAACATGAAGGCCTGGAAGAGGAGAATGAGAGGAACCCACTGGTAGTAGGTCAACTCCTCTGAATCGCGTTCTGCATGATCTACGGGGATCGGAGTATCCATAGGGATATAGTACGTGTTTTTTAATCCAGCAGTATGATTTGGCATAATCGACATAGGCACCTGTAAACTCTGCTGGGCACCAGCAGTGAATCGGGTCGCCAACGAACTGTCCAGTACTCACAACAATTGCGAATAAGGCGAAAAGGAAAACCGTCCAAACATGGTTCAGTCTGTCGATCCAGTCGTCGTTGCTCGCCCCTTGAAGCTTCTTCAGGGACGGCACCCCCTCCGATTATAGAGCCTATAGACCTGCAACACAAAGGATTACGTATAAGTTAATGGTGCTAAATCATCATGTAATGCATTGTTTATATTGGTCTCACTCAACACTTGGCACTATTCTGACATACTACGGAGGCCTACAGATTATCGAGTTTGAGCCAGGCAAACCAGTGATAAATGTCATCGTGAGTGAGGTTTACGCCGCTTTTAGCAATGTTCCAGCAATATCACCGGGGGACACCAGAAATGGGCTTCACACATTGTACCCAGATATATCTCAGAAACAAACACCACAAAGTAAAGGTATATGATAACAAGCAATCATATGACGGCGGTAATGAAATATAGAGAGAGTTCAGTATTACGCAGCATTCAGCAATATTCCAGCTATATGGCAGCGGTCTGTAAATACCCGAGTCTGGACCAGACAATCCAGTGATCAACAGCACGAGCATCAATCTGCGCAACTGGGAACCGATGACATGTGTCAACCAAGTCAGTGAGTCTGACCACCCGATCCCGTTAGTCGCCTCTTACGACAAGCATGGGTTACTGAAGATCAATTCGAACCTGGACCTTCACGGGTTAATGAAATATAGAACCTGGTTCACACAATCAAGTAATTGATGAACATCGATTTATGAAATCGGGATACCATGACATGTATCAACCAAGTCAGCGGCCTGAAAACCTGATCCCGTTAGTCGCCTTATACGATTAGCATTGGTTAACAAGCAGATATCGAGCTTTCAACTAAATCAACAGCAATCAGAGGTAAGGACTGTCTGTCAAACCAAGTGTAGAATATATAGGCGTCTTCAATTTAACAAATACCAATACAAAAGAACGGCAACCGCAATTCATCGATTAGTGTCATTTGGTATGGTTACATCTGATGGTTTGATTGACGAAATTGCTTTCCTACAAAACGGTCACTAATCCTCGTTCACCCACCGAAATGCATTTGATCTATTTATAAACAACATAGGTAACAAACAGTGTGCTCAACAGGGCGTGTCGTGGTATATGGTTTATTAGCTCGTTGCGAATCGCTATGAAAGTTTTATTGTAGTTACAGAAGACCAGAACGCCTTTGGTCTTCGACAATATGTACAGAACAGAAGCGGCCGGTGTTTGTCGTCGACCCAGTCAAGTTAGTGTAGATCTAGGCCAGGAGTACTCTCTTACACCTACGCTGTCTGTAGGAGATTGCTGATTTATGAACAGTTGTGTGAACCACAGCAATAATGTTTTATAACATGTAGACTACTTTGTGTTATAACATACGGTTTAGGTAATAAAGCAGGCTTTTATGAGTCATATTGATTTATACATCAATGTCTGTATAAGTCATACTTACACCATGTAGATATTTAACAGATAAGACGCGTATTATTGATATTTGATACCTGCTAAGAGGTGCCCGTTTACCGTCTGTCGAAAGTCATTTTCATATTTCAGTTGCATCATAAAAGGGACTTTACCTTTTACTTATTATTTGAAAAATATTATGCATGTCTGCACACCTTTGATTTTAACATCGGAATTTTGGAGACTTATTATTTGAAAAGTATGTGAGTCTTGATATTAGTAAACGGTGATTTAAGCTTTGAGTGTAATTTCTGGATACCGAATGGTGTTGTAGTAACTGCTAAGAGGATATAACCACACAACGTTCAGTACGGCTGCTACCGTGAACAGAATGTAACAAAGCTGTCAACAGACCCGACATATTTAATTGTTGTGCAGGTGCGTTTGCTACCTTGTCTGACAGGTTGAAGTCTTTCAGAGAGCGCTTGTATTTCAGTGTTGGCTTTCCTGGAGACGATCTCGGCACAGAAAGATTAACTATCTATCCGTTGCGCTTTCAATGCATTTCAAAAGACTGGTATCAGTTTTGCTCTACCAGATTAGGAGTGTAAACAAGCATTACGTAGCAGTGAAGAATTATGTTTTTGTGCATGTGATGAAAATTCCCTCTAAAGAAGAAACAGGGTTATGAGTACTTATAGAAATGACTCCGGTGACAACGGCTTTAGAATGCAATATGTATATGGTGTACAGATCCTGTCATGAACATAAGTAAGGTGTAGCTACATCATAACTGCGTCGGGGACGTTTACAATAGTGTCAGAACATTCCCCGAAGGAGGCATTTCCGTCCCTCCTTAGTAACGGACGTCATGCAGAGATTCCTTTAACATTATACACGATCACTTCACGATATATTGTTCCCTTTTCAAGATATAATGATGGATTCAAATAAATGAGAACATGAAAATATTACATATATAAATCTTGTGGTAATTAAACCTGCTTCTTTTAAAAAGAAATAACTAAAGTGAGCACATGTGTGTTAGAGTATTTGATTCGTTTACATCATACCAAATCATCTTTCTTTTTGATATGTCGGCATGTCGTACCAAATACGTTCCCTTATTTCTTTCCATCAGTATAGTTTTACTACTGAGAGTGGCGGTGCAAAGTAGTCCATTTTTTGTAATGAGTGGAATAACTGTGATTGTTCATATTACCTTATATAAAAGAGACAAATGTTTCTTTACATATTCATAAGAAATCTCGGCCAGACCAAGAGTGCAGCGCGCAATTCCAACCTCATCATGTGCATGCTTCCTTGAATCACAATTATATAGTAATGACACCGGGTGTCCGCAAAGGATACGGACATTGCTCATTTTTCAGACAGAAGAAAATTACCACATCTCAGAATCAGATGCTCTGTGAAACCGAATTTAAAGCCGGACACCCCGTAAGTGCAACCTCTATCAAACTGATTTATATACACGCAGGTTTTAAAAAGAGATGTGTTTTTAACAATAACCAAAAAAAACCGACGGATGGTATTTCGTCCAATTATCAAACTGGTGTTATATACAACGTCTTTCGTATCGAGATGTGACAAGCAAACTTTTGGACCGACTTTCCCTAATCTGAAATGCCACATACAGGTAAACGTTGCTACCTGACCCCCTGCAAGGTAGTCTTACACCATCATCTCACCTGACAATACAGGTATGTGTTTGTAAGTGTAGTGCGTACCTTTGTGCAATTGAAGATAAGAAAAGTGTTTGTACGAGGCTTTCAAACCTGGTGTTGAGATGAGGTTCATTTGATAACTGTGCAAATACACTCCTCAAGAATGTCTGGGGATAGGCGTATTTGTCTGTCAATAAATAACCCGACGGACGATTTCTTAAAGGTACCATGCATTGCGGGTATTAAAACTGAATTTATTGTAATCACGTATTACGAGTAAGGCAGCATTTAAAACGATATAACCTCGGCTTGAGTTAATCGAGTGAGTAAGTGAGAATGATTTTACACTGCTTTTAGCAGTATTCCAGCAATATCACGGCGGGGGACACCAGATATGAGCTTCACACATTATACCCACGTGGGGAATCGAACCCGGGTCTTCAGCGTGACGAACGAACGTTATAACCATTAGGCTACCCCACCGCGCCTTGTGTTGATCGAATATGACCCTGTCAACCAATGACTGACAACAACGATCTATGTTGGATTACGAATGACACAAACTCATCATCTAACACTGTTAAATCTCTGTCTGAATGTACGTGTGTAGGATATGGACACCGAGGACTTCTTCCATCATGTTAATAATAATTGTATATTTTGTTTTGGTTTCACTTTCGCGGTATGTAAGGGAAATGGGCGTATAGATACGCTATATATCTCACGTAATAGGTTCTGAAACCTGTTTGAAATTCACTGCAATGAGAAAGGTGTCCTGTTTCCTCACATTCAATGATACGCTGGTTGGTTTTCCGCATATAGAAAGGAATGTTAAAATCACAACTGACGAATATATTCCCCGACCCTCAAAAACAGCCTACTAGAAACGGATTCCGATGTCCTTGTCAGATGCGTATATTTTCAAAGTTTAAGGGCCATAAACTCCATGATTGTTACTCCATTGTTCAAGCCAAGGTGACTGTAAGACGATACTACCTAACTATAGTACCACTGGCGCTATACTGTACATATCCATGACACATTTAAACACAGGTGAGCTTATGTATGCAACACTGTTACACGGGTACCCCAGACAAATCAAATTAATCCGTGACTTTTTACTGGAGATTGCAGTACAGATAGATTAATGAGATATTTCACTGCGTCATCATTACCAAGAGAAGATGTACGCTAGTTTTTAAAGAAAATAACCAGAACGCCATAACTACGTTTTGATTGTTTAACAGGAATCATAATAATTCATACTGTATGTTTTAACAACTGATGAATAATCTGAGATTATAATTTTTGAAATATAGCAATAGAAAAGAACTGCTTGACAATGAACTACTTTACTTTTTAACAATACTGATATGATCAGATTTATTGAAAAAGACTAGGTGAAACGACAGCCCTTGAGGTTGAGATCAATCAGTTTCTAAAAGCGTGCACATCACACGTCCATATACACTAGATGAATGTTCTACTTGTTTAAACGCGTGAGAAATCACCAGCGTGCTCCACCGAGTTGCTTTAGGCATGGCAGACTGTAAACGACGCTATTGCAAGCATCTGAGTAGGTCAAATAGGGTGTAAGGATTACGTACCAGCAAGTACGGTCTGAAATGAGACGCTTGGGATAAAAATACGTCATGACAATATAAACTGATTGTAGGCGTCATCTGTTGATCTACTGTCAGGAGAAGCATGTCCTTCAGATGAAGGCGCTCCTCTACCCCCAAGGACTCATTATCTGTATAAAGTTGCTATCTTTTAATGAATTGTTTGCTCCGTGAGCTAGTCTGTCTCTGTATGTATTTAACTGTGTAAATCTGTATGTAAATGAATCGAATGGACCGGGTTGCATTTACGTTTGTACATATTAACTGTGCATGAATCTAATTGCTTTATCGGCATTCAATAACCTAGTGGGAGCTTGATAACGGTGTAAGAATCTATACCGAAACGTCGATCTATGCAATAAACAAGAAGTTGTTATCCATACAGTTCTATGCTTCATTATTGTGTAGG